AGAGCTCCCGCTCTGTGCAGGGTCTGGGGAAGGGTGTCAGTGGCAAGCCTTACCCTCGCCTGTGCAATGCGAGGAGACCGTGACTCGAACCCGGGACCTTCCGATCACAGGTGGTAAGACTCTACCGCTTGCACCAGACCCGACCTTCAATGACTAAAATAAGTGTACAAAAATAAAGTAATTTTGTCTAGTGGTTCAAAATGACTCATATCATATGTGTATTGACTAGTACAGTATGCTCAAAATGACTCATGGTAGGTTTTCTGTGTACATTATCATCACACCAGATTGCAAGGCACAAATTTTCAGTGAGCCAACAGATATGCTAATAGAACATGTTTCGCTGAAAGTGTAGGAAACAATATGTCAAAACTACAATTAATATAAATGTGTATTACTCTCTATCTTTGGATTGGAGAACAAGGGGAAGTCTTCTTCCAGGGATATTGTATGTATCTTTTGACTTCTACAGTAATCAAGTATCAGATCTTTCCATAACTGCACTTGTTTTTCCCGCGTTTCACGCACAGGCTGCAAACTGAGGGATATATGTTAGCATAGCATGCTATAGTTCTCAGTTCTGGTGTTGAGAGAGTGCATGAAAACAAGTTCAAATGTAGTTTTGAAGATAATGAAACAGCAATTTTGATAACTAACAAAGTGAGTAAATGCAATAATGAACCAATAGATCCCAAAGAGAATGCCAAAATATGTTAGAAGCATTGTCATCTAGTGAAATACTATTTCTTATTAAGTGAAAACATCTCAAATCTACATAGTATGCCAATATGATAGGAAACTAACATACATGTAACAAAATATTGGCCTAATGATAATTTTCAAGAATAACAATATATTGATTAGATAGATTTAGACCTGTACATTTTAATCTGAGCCTTACTATATAAATTTGTGAACAGGACTGTCAGAAAAAGTTGACCTTGAATCAACATATACATAACATTGAAAAGTTATGTGCAACTACTGGATATATCTTCTGTTCTTCACTAAGGAACAAGACAATACGACTATACATACATGGTTTGTGGTCATAATCTATGGAATGGCAGGGTATAGCTTATTTACAAGCCATCACAAAACAAATTTGGGTGGGTGGGTGGGTGGTAAGTTTCCTTTAGTACATATTAAGAGAAGCTTGCAAATCTCGAATACATTAGGTTGATTAAATTTGCTTATATGATACCTAAGTACTAGCACTAATTTAAAATGCCACGGTGCAAGCAAAAAAAAACTAATCGCAAACTATTAATGCGCTGTGTATAACAGTATATTGTCAAGAAAACTTAATGCCAAGCTAGCAATTCCATCTATATCGATTGGATGAATGGTGAATTTTCTAAACTGAAAACACCATGAAAAACAGAAAGCAAGCACCATCAGTATGAAACATGCAAGCATAAAAGCAACTACAAGTACTTCATCCATTTCATTAAACCACCAAAATAGTTGGAAGTATAGGAGCAAAAATTCGCATTCTGAAAACACTGACTGAGACTACATCCATAACCAATTCAGCATCATCGATCCTCCCTTACACATACAGCTGCAAGGTTGCAGACAACAGAAACATGGTGGCATTGTTTCTCAGAGCAGGCGAAGACCTAGTCACTGGAGTGGTTGGAAAGATAATAAAAGGCAGCGGATAGAGCGAGAAAAAGGACAGATTACGTGAAGTAAGGCGGGTAGTTGAAGAAGGGAGGGAGCCTGAAATCCCCCAGCCTCTGCATCTCCGCAACTGCGCCCGCCCAAAATCAGGTCCTGCAGCAATTGGAAAATCATATCAGAAACACGGATTGGAATCTAACCCCCGTCGAGAAGAAAAGAGAAGACCCAGAACGAAACATCGAAGCAATCTCTCCTTCTCACCTAAAGACGAGGAAACCAGTCCAATCTGATGGATCTGCGCTCCTGCACCAACAGAGGAGAGGGGAAGAAAAGCAAAGCAAAGCTATGGCTCCGGTGGACTGGACTGGAAGGGGACTCGAGAGTCGGGATCGCGTCCGACGATGGTGAGGGCGAGAAGCCGTGACTCTGCCAGCTGCCGGCGAGAGGCGGAGCAAATGCAGATGCAAGGCCAAGTCGAGGTCGAGGAGAACCTCATTTTGGGCCAAAACCTTTTGTAATGAGATTTTGGGCCAAAAAGCCTAACATTATGGCAGGCTGCTGAGCCTGAGCTGCTTCTATTTTGGGCCCGTTATTCAATGGGAAAGTCCATTTGATCTCACAAAGTCACAACTATTATTTGAGTCCGATTTAGTTCACTTAGAGATTTTTTTTTTTTTAACACTTTTTGTAAACTAATTTTAAATCTAACACTGTTTATTTTTTTTTCAAAACTAACACTTTTGCCCGCACCTATTTCCCTGGCTCGGCGAAATGCCTGTGCCGTGCCATGCATGGTGGCACGGCGAGAGGGATGACGTGGCGACGACCGGGGCGCTGACCGGTGACGTGGCAGGGTCTACCGCGCCACCGATCTTGGCGCAACAGTGAACGCCAAAAGCCCACGGCGCGGCAGGACCTGGACGCAACATTAATAAGGCTTGTGCAAGGTGTCCACATTATTTTTCTCGCTAGATAATTTTTCTCTTCATGCAAGATGTCCACATTATTTCTCACTAAGTCTCACTGAATGTTCTATCTCTTCATGCAAGATGACATTATTCCCACTAAACTCATATCATTCCTTATTAATTACAAAAAATGTTCACGTCATCTCTATCATGTGCAATACTTTTTTCATCACCTATTTCTCTATAATTAATCAAATATTCTATTGATTTTTTCTATTAGCTTATCGATTTTTTACCAAATATGATACAATAAAATAACATACAAGTCAAATTCATATATATACACAGTATACAAAATACCATATAGTAATACTACGTATGTAATATATTTAATTTTAAGAAAATCCCGCAACAACGCGTGAGATAGTCTTCTAGTTTATATAGAGAGAACCTGGATGGGATATTATAGTAGAAACTAAAAGACACCATGCCCTACGTGAGTGGAGGAATGGAGGCTGTATAGGAAGGTGATGATGAAAATTAGTTAACAAATTAAGGCCATTGCATGTTGCATGTATGCATGCATATGTAGTGGAATGGAAAAGGACATGAGGGCACCCGCAATGGTTAGAGCTAGTTACTAGTTTTAAGCTAACCTCTTTAATAGTGCTAACTTTTTGTAAATAGCTTTTAGCATGGATGGACCCATATGACACTCTCACGTAACCTTAAAATGTGTGCAAGAGCTTAGCTCTTGATTAAGAGCTAGTTTTTATCTCTCTTCTATTAAAATATGAGAAAAATGCTTAGAGCTAACTTAAAAGCCAATTGTTGGATCTGTCAGCGTTGGATGCATATATAGTATTATGTAGTGGAATGATAAAAGAAAAAGGGATATATGATAGAAAGCGTGCATTCAAATACACTGATTATTGGGAGATGAAACACAAACCTTGCATGTTTAATGAGAGCAAGTTTTATATGGTACGGCAAAAGCAATAAAACAGAGTGTTAGTGGAATTGAGAGGACGGATGGCCAGGATCAACACAGTTACTTAAGATCGGATGGCTGAAATATTAGTGATGGCGTGGCTTCACCAGAGAAGAGAGAAATAACAGTTAATGACACATTCCATCTATATAGGTCATATATATCCAATAAAAGCTCTTCCATTCTTCGTCTCTGTCTCCGAAGAGGAACGGGCGGAAGGTCATCCTGTTCTTCTCCTCTCCTGTAGAAAACGTTTCTGCGCAAATCACTGTAAGCTCTCCTTGTCCTCTGGTGATTTCTACCGATTTCTTTTATTTAGATAGTCGAGGAAATTCCTTTAACCTATACATCATTAGAGTTTCGTGCTTTTGTTTCTTCCGTAACCTAGCTGTCCCCCTTGTTAGTTCCATTTTTTTCTAATCTCTCTCTCTCTCTCTCTCTCTCTCTGTGAGATGATCGTTCATGTAGTTTGTTTTTCCCTCTATAATGCATTTAAGTTTCTTAAAGAATAGAATGTCGAATTGTTAAAAGGGGGAGGATTGGAGGAAATTGGGCAGGTCATAGCACAAAGAAATGGTAAAAAGCAACGTTTTTTATGCAAGGAGAGGGATGCGAATTACCACCGGAATGATCACACAGATGACCATGGCAAGCATTTCTTCAAGATATTGATTGGTGATTTCCATAAAAGATTGATGAGCAATTTTCTTGCACACTGTGTTTCCGGCTATTCAGCTTGTGGAATACTGGAATGTGGTCATTATCATCTAAGAAGTGAAGTGAAGTAAGCTGCATCTGCACCAAAAACGCGGCGGCCATTTCGGGCGCCAGACTTTTGGCAGCCTGTGGCGACCAAATGAACTGGCGAGCTGTGGCTGCGTTGCGACACGCCGTAAGTCCAGCGACGAACCAAACGGCCGCCAAAGCTTGGGCGCGAAAGTTGTGGCGAGCTATGGCGCGCGCGGCCGCTATTCAAACGCACCCTAACTTTTGTTACTAATTCAATACTGTGGACTGTGGTAGTGTTTCCAATTAATATTAGCATGTTGTCCCTAAGATTAGTGATCAATGTAAAGATCTATGTTGGTAGCCATGAATGGAATAGCATCACTTACAAGACTATTTTGGCAATTTTATTTTAGAGCAATCAGGAATCAATTTAGTGTTTCATCATATGATGGTGTGCATCACTTGTTTAAAGATAATTAGTTGTGATTGAATCAACCAACTTGCAATACTGCAATGTAGAATTTATACAGTTCCCTTACCTTATCTGAACTTTGTTCTGAGTTAATCTTGCTGCCGCAGGTCATATCGGGTAAATTTGCTAAACATTTCAAGACAAAATAGAAGGAAGTATTACTCTTGAATCACTTGGCGGTTATACTTTTGATGTTCAAGTTGCAAAGAATATGGGCAGAATAGTGCTTCAATCTGGGTGGAAGTCATTTGTTAGTGCCCATGACTTGAAAAAGATGGACTTCTTGGTATTCAAGTATGATGGGATGTCTCGGATGAAGGTTCTGATATTTGATCCTAGTGGTTGCGAGAAAGTACCACCATGTTTTGTCATGAAAAATGCTATTAGTGGTGGACGGAAGAGAGAAGAATCCATTGATATTCAAGCAGCTATGCTAATCTTCCCATGAGAACACCATAAACTAAAAAGAAAGCATTGAAGCAAAGGGACAGGAGTAGGATCAGTATCAATTCATCAAGATCCCTATCCAACTCATCAGGTTGAGTCACAATGTCATCAAACCTAGTAGCATCTATGTATATCTACAAGATCATGACATCATTGTTTTGTTTGGTCATAGGAGGAATGACATCTTCAGAGGGCGATGAAGCACATTCTATTCCGAGTTACATGCTCCCACGAGGCACCAGCCTTGATAGTATGCAAAAGAAGAAACTGAAAGAGAGACTCCTAGCTATTTGTTCTGAAATCCCCATCTATGTGTGTGTCGTGAAGAAGTCAAACATTTCTGGAAGATCTCAAGCTATGGTGAGTAAGGTTTTTCTCTTTTTTTTTGGTTCCAGATTGATATTAATATTGCATTTCAATTGCACGTCCTTCAGCAAACAGGTTGTTTAGCTTCCTAGACTCCTTGAAGAAATTTACAAGCTAAGTTCGATGGAAAACTTCAACTGTTTTGACTTTCGAACACTGAAAACCCTTTCCCTCTATAACCAGGAATTCTCTAGAAAATACTCTGATGTATGTCTTCCATTGAAGAGCAGAGTGTTGATTCTTCAGTGTCATGGCAAGAGTTGGGAAGTGATTTGCCGCATTCAGGTTCCAAAAGCTCAACGCAAAGTTAAAAGGCTTTCCAAAGGGAGGGCACGGTTTGCACGTGACAACAATTTGCAGCTGGGAGATATCTGCCTCTTTGAGCCACTGAAGACCAAGAAGTACAGGATGAATGTGCGTATCATTCGCAAAGAGTGAGATTTGGGAAGTGCTTTCTGCTACTATTTTCGACTTGTGCTTTTGGGTTTGATAAGAGTCACTTATGGTCATGTGTGTCGGCCGTTGGTACCAACTTTTATAGTAGTGATATTAAAGCTTTTATGCTTGGCAAGGGTAAAGCTTACTCTGTTTTGTTAGATAAGGGAACAAAGTGGTACAGCTTACTTTGTTGAGTGCTGAACAATATAATCTATGGTCTATCCATCCCCCGATTAGTTGACTGCGCCGTGTGGGCCGTGTGGTACATCTCGTCGAGTCTTGTAGTGTAGGTCGCACAGACGATCATCATGCGCTAAACAACGATAATGCTCATGGCGCGCGCAAGGGCGGCGGCGGCGCAAAGCGGCATGCGGACGGACAAAGGAGGCGGTGGCGTGGCGCGGCGGGACTAGGCCGCGGGCCTTTCGGTGGCTCAGCCGCGCCACCGATCAGGGCGCGTCAGTGCCACGCCAAGATCGGTGGCGCGGCAGACCCTGCCACGTCACCGGTCAACGCCCCGGTCGTCGCCACGTCATCCCTCTCGCCGCGCCACCATGCATGGCGCGGCACAGGCGTTTAGCCGAGCGCCAGGGAAATAGGCGCGGCCAAAAGTGTTAGTTTTGAAGAAGAAAAAACAGTGTTAGATTAAAATTAGTTTAAAAAGTGTTAAAAATATAAAAAATCCACTTAGAAAACCAGATTTTTACCTCCGATTTATCTCTATGAGGCTTTAAGTTGTTTCTCACTCTTCTTGGCGGTTCAACATATCAACAACAGGGCATTTGGATCGGAATGCTTCTCGGAACACTAGTCCAAACTATTGTGCTTCTCTTCATAACATTAAGGACCGACTGGGAAAAACAGGTTTGTCCAGTGTTGTGCTTAACAAATTGCAATATTCACTTAGAATATGTGGACAGCTACAAGGGGCACAATATGCTGAATTATTCTGAACCCCTATCTGCAGGTGGTGACTGCTCAAGAGAGACTGAAGAAATGGTACATGGAAGAGAACAGAAGAATGCAGGCCTCGAGGAGAAATCCTTGAACTGGCCCTGCTTTGCAGGTTGTTAATTGACACATTTACTAGGCACCTTGATTCTATTCACCATCTCAAGATCAAAATGAGGGCAGATTGTGTGCTCCTCAAGCCAAGCAATGGAAGGCACTATCAGCAGCAGTAGAAAAAAAATATTGTGTTATTGGCCAGTGGCAGGGCATATGTAAGAGAGCCTATGTTGGCTAAGTCAGAGTTTGGCTCAATTTTGTGCGTATGCTAATGTTCTTATCAGAGCAGTGGTTGAGGTTTGGGATATCCATAACTGTAACTGCCTGCATCTGTAAATTTTCTTATAATTAGTTGGTGCTGGGCATGTGAATCCATTGAGCTGTTGTTCTTGTTTACCTACCTTTTGTTGACTTCAAATCTGTAATCCTACTTATTTTGGCCAAATGAAATGGATGAGCATGGTGTGCATAGATTATTGTTTTGCAATCTGGCACTCCAGTGTTGATTTCAAATGGAATCGGATCAATTTTTTGCATAGCAGTAGAACTCACAACTGCACGGCACTGTGGTTCAACCCGAGACAGAATGAGGCAATGAGCAAGCAAAATCGAATGCGAGATACGAGGGCATGAGAGGACAGGAGAGGAGAGGGGAGGAGACGAACCCAGGTGAACCGCCGGCTCGTCCGCTAACGTCGCCGGAGCGTTGCCTACTTCCCTCCTCGATTTCACCCGTGGCTGCAGATCGACGCCCGTCCGCCGGTGTCTAGGGCTCATCCGCCGCCGCCGCAAGCAGGAAAAGACGGCAAAGCTTGTCACGCGTCGATCTGCCGGCTGGGCAACTGAGTCTATGAAACTGACACCATGGTCCCACTCTTCTAGTGGTGGCTGATTCAGCAGGGTCCACACTTTGGGCCCACGCGGCAGAGAGAGGAGCAGGAGCTCCGGTAGTGCGAGTACCACCCACACGAACACATCACCACCTCTCCCTTTCCGTCGCGTCACAGGCCACGGCGGGCGGCGGCGGAGGCTTCCGTGCGGGCTCTTGCCGGACTCAGCGGCCACGATAGCTACGAAGGAGGTAAATCGGCTTTTCAAGATATTTTAGGAGGTCAATTAGACCTCTAAATGTGTAGAAATGATTTTTTTTAATATTCAAAAAAAAATTGGATAAATATGTATTTAAAAATATTAAAATATGATTTAATATTAGAAAATTCATAGAGACAATGTTTAACTCAAAAAAATATGAAACCACCTAAAATCATACTCTTAAATGAGCACCGAATAGTAAACAATAAATTCGGTCACTTGTCGTTTAGCCATTATTTGGCTTAAACAAACACTTAAACGAGCAAAACAGACATATGATAGACGATCAATTAAGCAGAAATAGCGTACCACCATGTAAGGTTCAAACGGTGTGTAAAAAAGACTAAATGGCCCCTTTAGGTGAACAATGTTTGGAATGTCCTCGGACCCTTCACAAGCTCTCTATATATGTGTAGCACGACTATGGGTTCAAGAGAGCTCGGAACGAGATAGGGAACACATATATATAGAGTGTGAAGAGGTCGGTAGCCATTGGAAAAAGACCGCAGATATAGACATCACAAGATGATTCGTCGGGTTATCAAATGATACATTGAGTGCCACACAGACACACTAGATCATATGGCAAATTTCCACACTAGATCATAAGGTGATTTTATTCATGCTGGTTTTCCAACGGTTAAAAAAGAATATGCTCCACCAGATGATACACCATGTGCCACACAAGCACCACCAGATCATACGGTGATATCGAGTAGCTTGGCCACTCAACGTGGTCAATAACATGGTCATCAGATGATACTTTAAGCGACACACAAACACATTGGATCATATGGCAAATTTCCAATACCGTGGCCACAGCTAGACTAAGCAGTGCATAGTGCCACCGGATGATCCGCCGGGAGGGTCCGGGAACCATCGCTGCCGACCAGTTGGACCCGAGCATGGTGCCGACCCCCTCGCAAGCGCGTATGCACGCGCCGATGGCTGAGCGGCAGAGCACGGCCCATGCGGAGCACTCGACGGCCTAGAAGCACGCGTCGAGCGTCGTACCCGATACGCATTACAATTTCCTCGTCGCACCTTCCACGTAGGCGAGTTTTTCTTTTTTCTTCCTTTTTCTATTTATTTTTTTCTCTTTCCTTTCTTTGTGGTGTTTTTTTTTTTTTTTTTGGTAATTAATTATTTTCTTTATTTCATTTTTTCTTTCCATGTTTAGTTCTTTTTGTTTCCTTTCTTTCCTTCTATTTCTTTTTCCTTTATCTTTCCTTTTATGTATTTAGTATATTTTCTTACTTTCATTTTGGTTTTTTTTATTCTAGTTATTTTTATTTTAATTTTTTAATTTTTGGTTTTCTATGTATGATGTTCTATATTTGATTTTCACGTAGTATAAATATGATATGCTATAATTATTTTTGAGTATTCATAAAATACCCGTGAGATGTTCTATATAGGCTGCTCATATAGTATCCATAAGATGTTTTTAAAATTTTCCTATGTTACGTGGCTTTTTATTTCTTGTTTTCCATTATGCTTTATTCTACCTTTTATCCTTTTCATTCATGTTATTTGTTGATTCATTTATGTATTTAACTTTTTCTATCCATTTTCATATTTTTTCATTGTTTCCTACCATTCATATGCACCTAGAATTTTTTCCTGCATCTAAAATATTATTGTCATGAACTTAGAACATTTGTGTATGAAAGCGGAACTCTTTTTTTATCTATGATCTTGTGGTGATATTCACTTAAACGATTTCTTCTATGGCATAATAAGACCATTCTCATACTATTTATTAGCTATATTGTAGATTATCGTCATATTATTTTTTATATGATTAGTGATTTTTATTTCCTTTTTACTTTTACTAATCTTTTCTTCTCTTTTTATTTTATTTTATTTTTCTTTTATATTCAAATCACTTTTTACTTTCACATACCAAGACATTTGGAGAAATAATTTGTGCATTTATGATGTTCTATGATGTATTTTGGGATGTTTAGGTAGTATATATATAATATTCTATGTTGTATTTTTTGATATACAGTAGTATTCATTTGATGTTCTAATATATATTTTGCGATGTTCACGTAATATCCATTTCGATGTTCTATGATGTATTTTTACGATGTTCAGGTAGTATACATGTGATGTTCTATGATGTATTTTGTGATGTTCTTATTGTTTCTATTTTTTTTTTTATTTTATTTACTTTTTACTTTTACTAATCTTTTCTTCTCTTTTTATTTTATTCTCCTTTTTTATATTTAAATTACTTTTTACTTTCACATACCAAAATATTTGGATGAATAATTTGTGCATTTGTGATGTTCTTTAATTTTTCCTATTATGTGGTTTTTCTCTTATGCTTTGTTCCATCTTTTACTAATTATTCTATTTATGTCATTTATTTATTTATATTTTATACCTTTTTTATTTTTCTATTTCACGGATATTATAATACCTCCTTATGAACCTAAAATGTCTTTTTTATCTTAAATATGAAATATTGTTTTTTTTAATTTAGGACATTTATTTTATGAGTGTGGGACACCTTATCTTAGACCTAGAACATTTCATGTACTTTTAAAAAATACTCTATCTTCACGAGATAAATGTTCATTAATAATTTTTCATATAAATATATCTACACGGGGGTCTGGATTTGATGGATTTATTGTAATAATAAACATAATGATGAGATCAAAATTTAGTTTCAATACTTGGTTTAGCAACTAAATATTTTTAAAACTTGATTGAGAGGCATATGCATGTGGAGAGGTCGTCCCGCTTTTACTGGTCAGTGTTCGTATGAACTTTTACTGACGTACCGACTGGTCATTTTGTATGAAAGAGCCGAGAAAAAAATTCTGCACAGACATTATTTCCGTATACTTTACTGCAAAAACAGTCTATACATTCAGTCCGGTCGGTTCCCTTCCTCTAGCGGCTGCAGCAGCAGTATAACATTTTTTTTTTGAGGGGACAGCAGCAGTATAACAGAACACTAACACACAGCAGCACCCGCAACCTGCAGCCCACAACCAAGAAAAAAAAAGGGCATACGATCAGGACCATTATACTACACTACAAGCAAACTCAAACAGTCCGCAACGGCCCACAACGTGCAAAATCAAAACGGCCCATGACGCGCTGCGGGCACGCTGTGGCAGAAGACTTACGCCATATTTGTTTGGTCTGCTTTGGTTTATAAGCCATGTCTGAAAGTGCTGTTGGCTGATTTGGTGTGAGAGAAAAATATTGTTCGTTGGCTGATAAACCATAGCTTATAAGCCAAATACGACAAGCGAACCATCTGTTAATTATTATGGTCGGCGCACGACTTGCTGCTGACCCGGTCGGCCTATAAGTGCCCCGGGAGGGTCCCAATCATTAGATGCATATTTTCATCTTGTTTTAAATCTGACCTCGTTGAACTTCTTTGAGATGCTAGTTTTATTAAAGGGGCCTTTATTAAAACCAACCTAATTGAGCCACTCTTGTGCTGACTTGGTACCAAATGTGTGCTTTCAAATGGTCATGACTTGGGCCTGCATGCTCTTTCGCTTGTCCGGTGCTTCATCAGCGTCGCAGCTCACAACCACTCAATCTGGCCCACGAAAAGGACCCGGGTTTCTTCGTTCCGTGGTGGCTTCGTCCGGGCCGAAGCGGGAACGAACTAGCGTGCGTACGTGCTTTACTCTGTGGCCGCAGTGTGGGGTGGCGGCACAGCTCAGCCCTCGGACCTTGGCCGACACGTAACGGCGACTCCGCTGGCTGGTTCATCCATCATCGCCCGGTCATCGCCATGACGCCATCGCGAGCGAGCAAATTAAAGCTTCGCCGGGCTCGCGGCTGACTGTGAATCTGTGATCTGTCATGAGACTGTGACCGGCCCTCGTCCTGCCGCAGTGCTGCGGGGCAGCGTTGATCCTTGAGTCATCGTCATCTTCTTTTTCTTTCTTGAATACTCAAGAGTATTGCGTATCATTTGTATTAAGAAGGAA